TGAATAGCTCTCTTATACAAGGTAAATTCTTAACTGATTCGTAAGCGGAGACATAATCGCTATATGCAATATGTTTTTTGTTTTTTTCAAAGGTCTTTGGAATCACGTGTTTCTATTCTCCAATCTCTCGCTGTTTGTATTTCTGCCTTTCGCGTACTTATTCACCGAGTCCACAGGGTTTGTGGGACATAAGAAGGGCATAATTGCACGCGTCTATGAAACATTTACAGTATTCAGTCTTTTAGCAACGGTTGTCTTGGGCATAACCTATGTGCTGTCCGCCGTCATGGATCCGGAAAGAATTGGATTTTTGTCACTGCTAAGTACGTACTGTAGTGATGTACTTCACTTATTTACTTTTATTGCCCAACAGCAGTTGCAAAAACATGGATATCCAGTGTAGCGGAAAATACACCGGAAATCCATTTCCGTAGTGAATTGCATTTGTATTATTTGTGTTCTGTTAATCAATTGTTTCAGTTCAGTTTCAATAATATTCACTGCTGCTTGTTGCATTTTTATTTCCAGATTTGGGCAGTGTACATCTACCATTTCTATACTCCTGCGTTTCATTTCTGGGTGTGCTTCTACTTCTCGGTGAGTAAAAAAATAGTGCATTGATTTACATACATTTGCATGTCGGTATACATATGTAAATACAAAATTTCGAGTTCTAATGATTAAACATTACACAATATGGGAATCAATTTAAAGTGCTTGGGTTATTTTTGTGTCCATATTTAGAATTCTGTTCTGAGTTTCTCTTGAAATGCAGCTATGTAGTCAATTTCTTTAGAATTATTCTTCTTTGCGAATTTAATGCTCGTCTCATAATTTTTTTCATCGCCCAATCGCAGATAGGCCGCTGCACGATATAACCAGGATCGTAAATTCTTTTCGTCTAATTTGTTAATCACATAGTCAGCATCGATTATTGCGCGTTTAGCATTGCGAAGCCTTTGACGATGTACATATGTAAACGCGTTTATAATAAATTATTGTTCGCCTTTTTATCTATGTATATACTTACTTGAGATAAGAGAGCGCTCGGTTATTGTAAAGTATCGGGCTATCCTTTACGTGTTCTATGGCTTTTGTGTACATTTGTATGGCCTTTTCGTAGTTCTGCTTGCGGAAAGCTTCGTTGCCTAGACTGTGAAGGGTAAAGTCTTTGAATACATTCATCTTCTCGTATTATGCTTTGACTAACCTGCGAAAGTTTTGAGCTATACGCTCGCGCTCCTGCCGCACCTTAGCGCGTTCGGCGGCGTCTTGCTCCATCTGCTGCATGAAGGTATATTTGTCCATTTGCTGGGGACCGCCCTGATCGTTAGGGTCTTTCTCATGGGCCGCCTTCCGATTGAGTACCGTGCGATCCTGACGCACGCTGACAATAAATTTATCCTCATTGATGTCAGACTTACTAACGGAAAAAAGTGAAAATGCGTGTTGGCGCTTTATTTTTTTTCTTATTGTTGTTGTAGCGGTAGTTCACTATGACTATGAGCATTATCTTTTGTCGTTACTTGCTGTAATTGACTTACGTATCTGGCTTTTTTGTACTTTCTGACTCCGATTTATTAGCGCTGGCCATATCCTCAAGTAGTTTCATTACCTGATTGACTTTTGACTCAAAGTCCAGGAAGTCTTCGTCCATATCTCCTTGAGACATAGCACTTTATAATCGTTTTTTAATAAAAGTAATATACGTTTCGGTTTTGCTGGTATAGTTTGCGTTGTGAGGTATAGAAATATATTGTCCTTTATGTTCTCTTTCTTTATTGTTTTGTTCACTTTGACAAAGTATGTTTTTGTGTACCCCCGTTTCCAAGGCAAAGGTTTCGATAGTAAATCAAGAAAGTTTTTTATTTATAGATTTACAGTGAGCAAGCAGACTGAATCACTTCTCAGTGAAAAATAGAAATGTTCAGTGATGCATACATACATACATACTTAAATACTTTTGTTTCAAGAAACTAAATACCCAATTTAGATATGCTAAATACTCAATACTAGCAAAATTACATTTGAACATTATTTTATACTTACGAACTAATTTGTATAAACTATTTAGAGAATCAGTCTTTGTTTTGGGTTCTAAGATACTTGGTTTTTTACTGAATTGTTTTGTTAATTGAATCTATTTCATATAATTCCGTAGTTTGTACACCTCTTGGTTTCGTTCGTCTCTTTGGCGTGATGGGACAAGTGCTGGTGAAGCCGCATCTGCTTCGCGACGTCAATGAGGAATACCAAGTATACTACATGGAAATCGCCAGTGTGAAACGAAAATTAGCGAACATTGAACTGCTGAATGTCAGCATCAGTGGCAACGGTAGCAGCAGCTTGCGTTCCAGTTTGACGCGCAGCTACACAAATGGTGGTGCCGGCGGCTATTACAAACATACATCGTTGGAGCACCTGTATCAACGAAAACCGCTAGATAGCCACCAAAACGAGCATGAAAAGCTCAATCAAAGACTGAGAGAATTGGAGTCTGAAAGTCGAGAGCTGGAAAAGCTACGCAAGTCGTCAGCGTTTCAACGCAACTTCGTCTATCCACTGGCAATGCTATCGTTATTGTTCTTTACGGGAATAACAGTGCTGTTGGTGGTGCAAAATACACTGGAGTTGTTAATTGGAATCAAAGCATTACCTCTTAGCAAAAGAGTAAGTTGTTTTTGTTTTGCTTAGCTCGTCATCAGTTCAAATATAATTGTTTTTTTTTGTTTAGTTGCAGCAATTCACACTTGGCATCACGTCGCTGTCCAAGCTCGGTCCGTTTGGCGCCGGCTTAGAAGTGTGTCTAATATTTTATTTGGGAGCCACTTCGGTCGTTGGGTTCTACACGATGCCTTTTATGCGTCATGTGCGCCCACAAAAACGAAAAACTTCACTCGCCCAATTGATACTCAACTGTGCGTTGGTTTTAATTTTGAGTTCAGCTCTGCCGCTGCTCAGCAGAATTATTGGTGAGTTATGATCTAGACACGAGGCGGCATTGACTCAGATTAAAGGTGCTATGCACACTTGCCGCAAATTGTTCTCTTGCATTTTAGAACGCAATTGCTGCGACGCCGTACTGTTAAGCGACATTGGTGTATATCAAGTCTAATCCTAAATCTGTAATTGCACCTTTAATCCGGAGTATGGTTGTTGTCTGAATTAACTTTTAAAAGCCTTTATTATTGCCTTTCATTTTTTTTTTTGTGTAACTCAATTATTGAACATTTTCGTTGCAGGTATTACGAACTTTGATCTGTTGGGTGACTTTGGTGCCATAGAATGGCTCGGCAACTTTCAGATTGTTTTACTTTACAATTTGATCTTTGGCACCACGACGGCGCTTTGTTTGGTTAATAAATTTACAGCAGCTGTGCGTCAAGAGTTGTGTGCGCGGTTAGTAGAGAACTACGTGCTCTTCACCAATTACATGTCATTCATTAATTGATATTTATGTCATCGGCGCAATCAAACCTTTTCTAGTGACCGTACCATCCAAATGTCGATGAGTAAGCAACGCTTACTTTTGCATGGCATTATTACGGGTTTGGGCAGTGGTTTTGTTGCGTCGCAAATAATTAAGCTGGTAGGTTACTATTATGATAGCAATGCAGTTGAAGCAAATACTAACGGTGATGTAGAGAGTTGAAGTGTGTTAGAGCAAAGCTTGGCTGCGACCCTCACAATAGTCGGCGATACATTTTCCTATTCGATCGTAAAGAAGAGGAAATATAAAAATTACCAATCCACGAATGCCATTGCGACATTAAATTTCGGCGCATTTCACTATAATTACGTATACTTTACACAGGTGTATAAATTTTTAAATGAAATTTGCCATATAAACCCGTTACACTGGTTAATCTTTTCGGTACTAAGTATTTATTTATCAGAAGGATTCTCCCAAATTCTCTTAAACGATTTTATGTTTAGTCAAAAAAAAAAACGTTTTATCAAAAATTTAACTTATTGTATTTCGAATTTCGTTAGTTTTAATTTCTTTGGAATTAGTTAATTCAAATTTTTTAAAACTTTTTTGTATGTCTGTAATGTAAACAAGTCTTTAAATAAATAAGTAGGTACACTTAGTAAATACATACAGATGCGTGCAACTAATTAGCAACGAAATTCAAAACGATATTGCTTGCAAATTATGTTTATTTATTTATTTTTAATAATTTTCATTTAAAATATAATTCAATCTATATCAGAAATCACAATAACAAAAGTTGCAAAGCTTGCACAAATTGCAAAAAAATTAATCAAACTTCAAAAAATTGTCATCAAAATTTCAAAATTTTTAATTAGACTATTTAGAAAATTTTCGGGTATGCAGTTTTGTAGCCCATTCAATTTTAATATAATAAAGTGCAAGTTTCTAAACATTACCGTTGATTTTTTAGAATTTTTTTTGGAGGGTGTTGCGCATTTTCTTCCATATAACACATGATCAAAATTTTTTTTACATGGAAAAAAATCCGCAACACCCTCGACAAAAAAAAATTCTAAAAAATCAACGGTAATTTTTAGCGACTTGAAACTTCCACTTTATTATACTAAAATTGAATGGGCTACAAAACTGCATACCCCAACATTTTCTATATATTCTAATTAAATATTTTGAAATTTTGATGACGATTTTTTTAAGTTTGTTTAATTTTTTTGCAATTTGTGCAAGCTTTGCAACTTTTGTTATTGTGGTTTCTGTTATAGATTGATGTTATTTTAAATGAAAATTTTTAAAAATAAATAAATAAACATAATTTGCAAGCAATATCGTTTTGAATTTCGTTGCTAATTAGTTGCACGCATCTGTACCTACATACATATGGCTGAGCTTTCCAATAATACGTATTTAGAAAAAACTTTTCGGTAATTCGAAATCCTTTCATGGTTTGGCAGTTTATTCCATTTATAGAAATTAAACTTGTAAAACCGTTGTTTTATTTTAATTCGAAACTTGAAACTCATTTAACAAAAGCAAAAAATTGCCAGTCTAATTATTCGTAAAGGCGAAACGAGCTAGTCAGAGCACTTCCTTTAAACATTTTAAAACTTTCATTTACTAACAAGTAACAACTGCATGCTCGGTCTTTGTATCGAAATATGTATCTACATGCGTTGCCATTAATCATCCAATGAACGCTAGAATAAGGTTAATTTATATTTATAGTATCGGCTACTATTATTAGGTACCAATTTTATAACATACGCACGCATATATGTACGTACATATTTTGTATATCTCAGGGACCGTAACGATTATATATGTAAACCTGTTGTGTGTGTTTTTTTAAACAAAATTTAAACTCAGAAAGTAACTTTTGAAGTTAATATTTTCCCGAGTCAAAGATATGTAGCTATTTCAGTACGATTTTATAATAGAAATTTGAGAAATAATCGTTATTTACGGTCTATGGTATTTCTAGTTGGGGCCTAGTGCCATTAAAAATTGATTCCAAATTAGTGAATTTCAACGAACACACATATTAAAAATGGCCAACACGATTTTATTATATATGTACATTTGTATATTAAGATCATTCAGCGTTATTCTGATATAAATGATTTGCTCATGTAATTTTATGTGATATGAAAATACACTATTGTAATGTGTTAAATAAAAACTGCATGTTGAAAAGTAATCAAACTAAAGTGTATTAATTTTTCACCAACTTTAAAAGCACTTATATTCATCCATTCGCACTTGACAACTGATCGTCCACGCATAGTTAATCCTATAATTCAAATATCAAAAGCTTATCGTTCCAAATTTCAATTAAACTTTAGTGACCTAAATAAAGAACTTGCAATTTAATTTTATTTACAGGCTGACTTCGATGTTCCTGTATGCATAGAAGTTTCTTCGTTTGGATGTCGCGTTATTTTGTTTTCTGGAAATTATAATTTCTTTAATCGATATACTGTGATTGTAATGCTAATGCATAGATAGAAAATAGTTAAAATATTAATCTTAAATAAATGCAATATAAGCAAAGTCTATGTTTCATTGTTTATTGCGCAAATGAATGGATTTTATTCGTTTTAAACTGAAAGAACGAAGTAACAAAACATTAAAACAGTGCTTGTTTGGTCATATGTAGTGCTAATGAGTGTACATATGTACGTATTTGAATTTGTACTCGTGGGTGTCTATAGCCGTATTTTCTTTATCGGAACCATAACAACAACGTTTACTTATACTCAACAAAGCTATGCTATTTAGTATAACTGCATAAAAAAATTTGAAATAACAAAAAGCTGGAACCCTTGGTTTAAACTTGGCATGGATTTTTTTCTGTTTCTTCATTTTCTTCGTACGTTGCGAGAGTGCCCATCAACGTTTTCTAATGCCCGCCTAAGCCTCTATCGTCACATCCTTCGCTCGCGTTTACAACTTCGTCAAAATCACGCATATCCAACTCATGGAGGGCTTGTTGCACCATAGCAGCTAGCTCTGGGGGCAAGTCTTTCAAATCATTATGTCGCTCCCTCGCGATTGCGCTGGTTATGCGCGGGTTGCTCGTACTGACGTTCACTCTTCTGCTGGAATTGCCACCCGAGTCCGTGGTAGTCGACGGTGACGTTTCGTATGCATGCATGGCAGCATTTGTGAATTCGCTGAGGCTGAATGTGCCTATAGCCCCTGCAAAGCCACCGTATTCTGAAGACATTATGCTGCGCCCAGATTCTGTCGATAATGAATCGACAGAGTCGTCTGAAATACCGACTCGCGAAGTTTTATTTGAGTCTTCTCGTTCCGTTGTCACAGTTTCTGAATCGTTAATTTTAAGGACAACCGAACATTTCGTGTTGGTTGTGGTGGTTGTTGTCGCCTCCGTTTCGATGACGTTACTGGAATCAACAGATGAAGCACTGTAACCCTGAAGTAAGAATTGAGAGGGTGAATACTCGCTATTGCAAGAGGATGCAGTTCCACTCATGTCACCAATGCCGGCTAGGCATTGTATGCGTTGGTCCAGCTCTGCAATTTTAGCTGCGAGAATTCTGCAACAAAAATGTATACATGTATATTATACAAACATCCTACACATGATAATGGTGGCAGAAGAAATAAAAGGATAGGATTAGAGTGAACATGAATATTAACTATAAACACCGCCTAAACAATATGTTCACATCGTTTCTATAACAAAAACTTACTTGTTAGTTTTCTTTTGATGATTAAGAGCGATATGCTTGTCGTTTAAATTATCTAGCAGCGCCAAACAGAGTGATTTCAAGTCTTGAATAGTCTCTGTTTTTGTAGGTAAGTCCACGCCACTATCAAGCATTGTTTTGACTGCAATTATACATTAACATTAATATTATTTAAAGTTTTTATTGTTAAAATATTTTGCAGTGACCGGAAGAATACATATCGCTAATTTACTGAAATGTTGTCATAAATAAAAAAAAAAGAATTTTTCAGCAGGCACGCTTAAAGCTTTTTAAGGTTTATATTGCTAAATGCATCGCTATTGCCTTTTACGTGGAAACTACAAAATATTTTACGCAAAATTGTTAGAAATTTGCCAAACAAATTTCTTCATTTGGGTTATAAAAGTATGAATGAGGGATATTTAACACAAGTTTAATATAAGGTCCTGGTACATAATATGTACTATATGTAAGTAAAAAAATTGTATAAACGAAAAAGGTATCTAAAAGAGTGAAACACAACATCAATGGTGTATTATGCACCTCTTTACCTTGTTTATGGGACAAAATACTTTCATCATTTGCATGGGAACCTAGTTTAATAATACCCTTTTTACGCTTCGTTTCCAACATAGTCTTTGAAGCATGAAATAAGTTAAATTAAGTGACATATTAGTTTATACAAACGACTAAGATCAAATAAAGCAGACCAAACCAGCGTTTTTTATGTTAGTATTTTATACCTTGTATTTGTTAAGAGATTGCTTTGTTATATCCAATTCGCACTCAACATTTTTTAACCGTTCGTGTAGGTACTTATTTTCTAACAATATGCCATCAATATCGATTAGCTATAAAAATTAGAAAAGGTATTATTGCGTGATACAGCTTTAATGTAAATTTCACAAAAAACATATTCTGCCAGTGTCATAATCCAAAAACCAAAAACTGCAGAAAAACGACTTTAAGGTTTTGAATTTACATACATACATGTACATATATATGCACGCTCATAGTAGAAATCAATACATATTTTGTTCTAATGAGGTACTGGTAATCGGTACATCTATGGAATTTTTACACAACATAGAACAACCAGTAGCGGTCATCTCTGTATACCTAACGCAATTTTTTTTTTTGGATTATGACACAGAAAATGTGCGATATGTACCTTAGGATGTGATTCGTTGGCTTTTAGTGCATTTAACAGTTCATGATTCAGCCTATGCGCCTTGCATTTGTAAGCATCACGTTCTGATATAATATCCTCTTTTTCGTCTATTAAAGTTTTTAGATCAAAGGCAAGCTGTACATTCTAACAAGAGGAACCTATCTGGATAAACTTTTTTTTTACTTGTATTTGGTAATGCACTATTTACCTTCTTTTTCAGGTTCTCCAAATGACAAATAAAATTCGAACGCTCCCCCTTCCATTGCACAGCTTCCGAATTGCTTGATTCAGCAATCAATTCATTTTGCAATCTTTCCGATTTTCCTTCCTTTGTAGCAGACCTTAGGAGTTCGATATCGCCCTGCAGCTCGTTTAACTTTTGCTTCAGAGATTCTACTTCCGTGGTGAGCTTTATATTTCTCTCTCGCGTTTCGTGCAGTATTGATGCTACACTAGTTTTATTGCCCTCCATTCCAAGACAACTGCTGTATTCATTGTTACGTGTTATAGCTGAATAACGTAGTTGCAAGGTCTCCGCCATTAATTTGAATTGATCACGCTCGGTTCGAAATTGTTCCAGCTCCTTGCGTAAAATACGTACTGCTTCCACTTTACTCACCAATTTCCTATGTAAAGCGGAAGT